ATTGTATCCGATTCAGAAATGAAGTTGTCCTTCTCCTCCAGTGCTTCTCTCTTTCTTGTCATCATCATCAATGGTGAGTTATCCTTTCATTAGTTGTGTCTGTCTTGTTTGGCTTTGTCATTTTTCATTACTTTGCCTTGTTATTTAAAACGTGCCATTTCATGTTACATTTCTTTCCTTTCTTCAGTAATTTTACTTCTCATTTTGTTTTTAGGTTTCATTCAGTTCAGTGAAGCACAAGGTTAGTATATATGAAAACTAGGCCATGTTCTCATATTATCCAAACGTAATTGCCTGTGTCTGCTGTGTATTTGACCTTTACTGTGGGCTGTATGCTTGGAGGTGCCTGAGTGTCTAAATAGGTTGTGGTGTTAAACAGAGCATGTTAGTTATTGGAATGATTTAGTTTCCTCCTGCACTGACAGCCATGTAGCCCAGACTCTGTGAGTGTGTGTGAGGGACGTCTGTATCTCTACATGTTACACTGTGGTTAAGCACATGTAAGAATTAATCACTTTATAATTTACTTAAATATATTTTTTAATCTGGAATAACATTTAGTTTGACAGTAGCATTAAGTTTTAAGGTCTTTTCGGGAGTATAACTCAGATACTGCAATGATTATGTTTTTTCTCACATGTAAAGTGTTTCCTTTTCCACACAGGGCAGCCAGGAAAACCTAACATTATAGTCAATCAGGCTTCTGGAGATGGGATAGTCAATATCGCCTGCACGTTTAGCCAGGAAACTAATACAAATATCAGCTGTTATCTGTACACTGGAAACACATCTGAGCCCTTCACTACAACATGGACTAAAGGGCGAAAGGTCTGTAATTTTGACATACATAATACTGACCTACAGAAGCACTTAGAGTCTGCATTCAGCAGGGAGCTGAGCTGTGATTACACTGTGAACACAAAGCCACCGACTCGCTCTCCACGGAGTGATAAAAGTGTAATAGGAGGTGAGTGAGTTTAATTCCATATTCATTTTGTAGTAGGAGGAGAAAACAAGGTGTGTGTTATTAAGTCCTGGGGGTGAGTAGCCAATAGGAGAGGGCGCTCAGACTATAAGGGTTACCCCAGCACAGACGCTTTATGCTCCTTTTCGGTGGTCATTTTAATTGTTGGATTCCCGGTTCGTTCCGGGATTAGTGGTCGGGACATCGTGCACCGGTGTGTTCAGCCCCTGGGGGGTGTAAATAGTACAAGCTGTGACAGGACGCCTGACGCTGGGAATAATACGGCGGGGTTCCTCCTAAGGGTCCCGTGTGCTGTGGTGCGGCGGTGACTGCTGCTCCATCTTACGTGGAACCACGGCGGCTCTGTGCTGCCTTACTGCTGCTGTTTAGTGACGTTTGCACCGTGTCGCGCTTTGAGCACTTCTGCTTTGGTTTGTTGTGTTCCATCCAGCCTGTAGCCGGCCCATTCACCAGCGGGTCCTTAGCTGGGGAGCGGTTTGGTGGGGGGGGGAGCGTGTCTACATGTGTGAGACGGGTTGTTAGAGGGGCTGATTGGTCCCTCACTTTTCAAAGGTTTGTTTCTTTTTGTTTTAATTGTATTACGTTTATCTCTGTTTGATATATTTTGTGTCTTGTTTTGAATGGGTAGAAATGTGTCATCAATATAAATCGTGTTGTTCGGTTATGTTGCTATGTAATTTTATTTGTTTGGTTGATTTTCTTTACTTTAGACTGCAGTGTTTTTCTTTCTGCGTTTTGTGTGACTACTGTTGTGGTTTGCAGTTATTTTATTTTTTTTACCCGTATGATTGCATGCATCCTTTGGGTTCTTCTGTGCGGTCTTGGGTTTCAGCGCCCAGTCTTAGACCGGCAAGAAGTGGCTGCTGGTATCCGGGCTGTACTTTAGTCAGTCACAACACCATAGGCCTAATCTTCTTATGGTTTTAGTTCTAATAAAATTTGTGTTTGGAACAACGTCTCTCCGCTGTTACGGTTAACGGACCAGTGTGCCTTGGCCCGGGGGGTAGGGCGACCGAACTTTCTCCGGGTGTAATACCTGGGGTGGCGTAGTCGAGCTGACTTGTGGCTATCAGTACCATTGTTTGGTACCATCCGGCAGTATTCCATCACCACTCGCTACAATTTTATATGCAGGTCTGTACACGAGCAGTTTGTTAAGGTTTTCCACATGTTTTCATATGTACTTATTGCTTGTATTGAGTGGTTAAACCTCTATACTAAACTCACTGGCAGGTTTCTATCTATGTCACACTCGCACCAGCGCGAATGAAGGGAGAAAAGGATGCAAATGGAGATACAGTATAAGAGGTTTATTAAGTGATACAGCAGGTTGACAACTGATGGAACAAGGAGGACACAGACACTGTCACCAGCAATGACAACAATAGCGACCACGACAGCCCCTACAGCGACAAACGCTCCACTCACCAGCCACACAGGTGCAACCCAGGAGGGCAATCAGGGCAGGATAATTACTCATTACTACACACAGTACGGTAACACAAAGGCAGATGTGGAGATTTCAGTCCAAAGAATATAAATCCAGACCAAGATTTTTTTTTCCTTTGTCATGTCTTTTTTTTTATTGTACCTTCATATAACCAAAAAAAACCACATCCTACTCAACCCCCTCGCACCACGGTAATATATAGTATATAATATATATATATAATAATTTAACTTAAAAAAAGGGGGAATAGTAACACAAATTCACAGCAAATTAACAGCAGCTAGATTGATATGTACTATATGTATATTGTACACATTGTACAGAACAGTACTTGACATTGCCAGAGGCAGATTTAACATAGAACAATATTCATGACAATACTAGTGAGAGAAAAAAAAAAAGGGGGGGGGGGCAGTGAAATTTACGTCATTACAGTGTCACTAGAATCCATTTTTTTCAACTAATGTAAGAACAGGTTGCCAGATATAGCAGAACTTAAGTTTATTACCCTGTATATGATACCGAATTTCTTGAAGTATTAAATAGTACATGACATCATTCATCCAGTGTTTAAATGTAGGTGGGGATTTGTCTTTCCATTTCATTAATATACAGTAACACTTCTGGCAAGTACAGTAGTGTTGCGAATGCCGTCATTGTTTTACCCCTGTTTCCGTTTCCTGTGCGGTGTTCTTCTGGTGTTACTCCAAAGATGGCTGTGACTGGGGATGGCTCAACATGAGTATTCAAAGCTCTACATAGGAATGCAAAAACTGATTCCCAAATCTCAAATAACTTAGGGCAGCTCCAAAACATATGTGATAATGTAGCTGGCTCAGTGTTGCATCGGTCGCACATAAGGTCAATACCAGAAACAATCCTAGCCAGCTTTGTCTTTGACTAGTGTAACCGGTGTACGACCTTAAATTGGATGACAGTGTGCCGTAGACGGATTGAAGATGAGTGTATGTTTCTAAGACCGGTCCACCATTGTATATCTGATAGTTCGGTATCCAACTCCTCCTCCCATTTATGTCTTATTAACGTCAGTGGTTCCAAATTATCCCTACGAATTAAAGAGTACACTGTGCCTATAGTCTCCTTAACATGAGGGAAAAAATTTTGTAATTTACCTAAGAGAGAGTCTGGTGGTAATGATGGGAAGGACGGAGAGTGTGTGGAAACAAAGGTACGGAGTTGCATATGTAGCAGGATGCCAATTAGGGGCTTACCTTCTTTGGTGATTGGTGGCCTAGATCAGATAATTGGCCTGTGTGTAATGGTTTGGGCCTTATAAAGGACGGGAATGGCAAAGGTGATGGATCCATGGTAACACACGCCAGGGGGTTTTGGGCTCTGTGTGTTCGTCCATTTTGGCAGTTTTGTATCCAAAGCG